GTTTACTCAGTCATGAGCTGCGCGCTGCTTCCTGGCTGTCGAGGACAAAAACTCACACAAGCTGCTGGTCTCAGTCTTTATGTGCATCCTGTCCAATGTCACATTTAGAAAGGAGGACCCAGACACCAGAGGGCCTCGATAACAAGGCCGAATTTAATGAGGATAGATGGGGAAAACAAGAGACTACAACGCAGAGACAAACTCAACATGCTCAACCTGACTAATAGCAGCACAAAGACACTAACAGAAATTCAACAAAAACAGTGCTGTCAGGGAGCTATACTCTGGAACTGAGGGCATGAATAACAAGGCTTAACAAACAATCAGGAGCAAAGGGGGCAACAAACCTGACACAGGAGGAGTGAGAACCGGAGTCCATGTAATCAAAGGTTAAAAACCAAAGAGGCACAAGTATGTGAGCAGATGACAGGAGGTAATGGTGGCAAGGAAGCTGAAGACCGGGAGCAGCACAGGGTGTGTACACAGACATACCTTCAAAATAACGGTCCAGTCTTTGTCTGTCTCAGTCATCATTACTAAAGACACAACAGTGATACGTTTGAAATGGGAAACAAACAGCTGCGTGCACCTGTTAACTTCTGTGTTATGCTAGTGACTACAGAGCTTGGCTGCTCTTGGCACCAGATAAAAGTGTAAAGTTTGTCTGTAGGTGGCACTGAAAGAAACGCTACTGTGTCATTAAAAGCTCACATCTGTTCACATGGGCGTTTAGTCCTGGTGGAGTCGCTCTTTGAGGACCATGAATCTATTCAATACATTTCAAAGCAGTTCCTCCAGTAGCTGAGCGGCAGCACAGAGGTGGGCAAACCAACTGGTCATTTCCTGCATTGAGAGACACATCAGGTTCAAGATGCTTAAAACCCAGATACTTCAGGAATCCAGCGAACACCAGAGACGTCCCAGTGAAGATGGCAATGAAGAGCTGAGGCTGATCCCGTTGTTGTTGTTGTTGTTGAAACGCTGTAGGAGGTCACTGTCAGGCACTGCAGGGGAAGCTTGTGTGTCAAATGTTGTGTTGCCTGTATTGGTTTATGGTGTTTTAACATGGAGAAGGTCCAGTGCAGCAGGGACGTGTCCTCTGTGTAAACCCAGGGCTGAGGGACCTTGTGACGAAGATCTCTTGCCACATTTCTCCTGGAGCTGATGGCCGACCTGATAAAAACGGATATGTTTCTTACAAATCACTGGCGTGAACCAGCTCTGCCATGTTTGAATTTCCCTTTCTTAAACCAGCGAGACAGGGAGCCAAGGTCTTTCTCCTGATTGAAGTCCCTCTGTCCCTTTCTTGTTTTTTGGACTGTTGGAGATGGTTTATTTAAATCTGAAGGCTGACTGTGTTTTGTCTCTTTGTGCTGCTGTTTTCCATCCCAGCTGTCTGCACTTCGCTGTGCCCTTGGACACACCATCCCAAGTTCATCTAGCACTTCTCAAAATCTTCTGTCAGCGAGCTGGAACTTTTCCAAAGTACTTCTAATACAGACACTATGAGAGAAAGCTTGTACTTTCACAGGGCCATAAGTTCTTCATAAATTCCTGGGAAGTTTCCTGAAACGAACCATATAATCTGGTATTAAGTAAAAGTGAAATACTGTATTCACAGAGTTCAGCTGATGCATTTCCAATTAATTAATTCCAGTTTATTGCTCTGTAACATAAGCTGAAACAGCAAAACTGTGAAATTTGGCCAGAAGAAAACACACTACGTACTGTACATGATGACTAGAGTTTCCAGTCACATGAATAATTAGTTGGACCTAAATGGAGAGGAAATTCCTCTAGAAACAAACCTAAATAAACGTCCTCAGAAATTTCCATTAATTAAACATTAACATTTAATAAACATGAATTAACAAAATGCTTGTGAAATTCATGTTTTCACATATGAAATGTTTGAAAGTCATATAATCACACAGATCACATCTTAATGTGTCTAACCTAATATTCAGTGTAAAGTTGTTTTGCATTTTACTTAAGAGAAAATCGTGCCTAATATTCAGTGTAAAGTTGTTTTGCTTTTTACTTAAGAAAAAATCAGAAAATCGTACTTCTGTATTGTGAATTTATTGGTGAAATCATTTTGAAATGTCGAGTGTTATTGGTGAAATCATTTTGAAATGTCGGGGAGGGTTTTTTGAAAGGAAACGTCAGCAGGGCATGATGGTTATTTTGGCTTTTTTACATAGAGTTCACATGAATGAATCCATCATTAATCTTGAGCGTTTGTCACAGTTTTGTTCCGTCTCAGCTGCTTTATCCTCCAACTGGAAAGTTCCTGCTCTGTATTTCTGAGAAACTGAAGGAAGCGTGTTCATTCAGCTTCCTCCTGCAGTAAACTCACACTCTGCTGCTTCCCGTTGGCAGCAGCCTCTGGTTTGGCTTCCTTCGGGCTTCAGTCTAATTAAAGTGGGATTAATGGATCCCACTGTGAAACAGACATGCAGACTGACACGGACTGACAGACGGAGGGTTCGGTAGCTGCTTGTTCAGGATTTTATCCTTTTCAGCGTTTGCATGTTTACATGAAACAAATGTGACGCATGTCGATTTCTTGCTTGGCATCCGTTCAGCCTCATTAGACCAAAACCGTTTGGGATCATTTGATCTGATCCGCACAGTGACAGGACGTCCAGCAGAGTTCACAGTGGCTTCTTAACAGCATCATTATGGTTCTCACTGCAGCGCGGCTGTCTCATTACAGAACTGACGCTCCCTTATCTAATGTTATCAGGTGCAGCGGAGGTGTTTGGTTTGGTCTGCATGTCAGGTCTGTCAGAACATTTTCTAATGTGTGTGCACTGAAATACCCATTTAGAAAGGAGCACATGTTTGCAATGTAAATTTAGGACAATTTCAAGCAAAGTTCTTTTTATGTTTTCTTGTTTGTTCTATGGTGAATAAAGCTGCATTGATTTGGTGGTGAAGAACTCTTAAGACGAGCTGACACAATCTCAGATTTATGATCTCATTATCATGTGGATTTGGCTGATGTGTCAGCAAACGGTTGCCTGTTTACACATGCAGCAATACTGCTGCTACTACTACTTTATCCCAGTATTTATTGACTATAGGGGCAACGGTGTACATTTACACACTGTCTCTCATGAAGACTTGAAAAGTGGTTTCAGAAAGCCCCATCCCCTGCACCCCCATACGATGATGGATAGAGACGAGCACTCCAGATGGGAGTATACTGGCCTCTCTAGTCACTCAGCAGTACTGTATCTTAAATACACACACTGGGCTGGAAAGTTGTTGCGCTTTGAAGTAGAACTAGAGATCCCCCCCTGGTCCTAGTCAGTGAGGTGCAAGCCAGGACAAGTGTACTAGTGTAGTGACCATTATAGTTCAGGTCTATTTGGACCCAGTCTAGCCATCTCCTTGTCTCTTGTGGAGCATGTCTCTCTTTTTATAAACCTATGGTGTGTTTGTTTGTTTGTACACATATTATTCAGGTAGGTTTGCCACAGAGCTTGGAACCTCTAAGTCAGATCCATGTGACCTTTATTGGACATGCAGACTAGCTCTGGACCACACCTCACCTGCACTAGAATAAAGAAAACTGTTGATTTGTAAATAGAAAGAACAAATAGAGAGATTTTTACAGTGTAGGATCTGAGTTTAGAGTTGAGCTCGTTCCCCTGTATATTGACACTATATGCATTTGTGTGTGTCCTGTTCAGATGAAAGGATGCTGCAGAAGCCCAACGAGGGACTGAGTCCTACTTGAACCCCCCTTCCCCCTCCTCTCCCCCGCCCCACCCACTGCACCACCGTCCCATCATGAACCTGCTGTGCCGCGGACGCCTGAAGCTGCTGGTGGTGTCTCTGACGGCCGTCGTCCTGCTCACCTGGCTCTACCTGCTGGCTGGAAACCTGGAGAGTGAGTAGGAACGGGCTGAGAGTTAGATGCCAATCCTTAATCCCAGATCCAGTTCTGCCAAATAGTTCTCATTATTCTAGAATCCTCACGGTGTCATTTTCCTGCATGCTGGGTTTGAGAAGTTCAACGTGGGTTTGTAATGACACCCTGCAGCTGCGGTTTGGGTCACAGGAATCCAACCAACCAGAATGGAAAACATCACTTACCAGATATTCTTTGCAGCTCAGCTCACTTATTACCCTTCGATCCAGCTATTAAGTTAAATTTTTAAACACATGGAGCCTATTTTGTGTTCAGTTTTATTTTTCACCGACATCCCAGAGAGCCAGGAAAGCTGCATCAGGAGCCGCTGTCAACGCTTGTGTTTGATCAGCCAAGGTCAGATCAGAGAATGTCTTTGCCACAGCGCTGTGATGCTGTTTCCTGGAAGAGCTTTTATACTGTAACACACACACACGCATTCACATGCACACCATCCTGAGCATGTACTGAGTTATTCTGTAACTTCATTTTATAGGCTAGAAGTTGCTTTGTTTTTCTTGCTCTACTAGAATCGAACCATAAACCATGTATATCAGATACTGATGCCAAAATCAAGCACTAAGCAGGTAGTGTGAGAGACAGTTTTGTTATATTTTAATTATGTTCCCGGAGGATTCCCAAGTCAGACAGCCTTGGGAGTAGCACCCTTATACCTAACAGAAATTTAACCTGTGGTGGGAGGATGTTTTCGTACGGCTAACCCGGCCCAGTCTCCAGGGAACAACCGGGTGTCTCAGACAAATCAAACAAACAATTATGAGTGAGGCAAATCCAAAACAAGTGTTTCAAAAAACAAATCAAAGTACATAGCACATGACTAGACATTAAACGAGAGACACAGAAAACAGAGAGGCAGCGCCGAGCACTTAGATCAGAGTACGGAACTGGGACACCAGTCCAGTCAGCAAGGGAAGGAGGTGGGCCAAGGAACAGATACAGCACCGGGAACCAATCCCAGACAGGCATCCACACAGACTGCTTACAATGAAAAGGGTTTGACACAAGAGAGGAGAGGGTGAGAGGTCAGGGCCGTAACAGTACGCACAGGGAAACAGTGTTGTTCCTCACGGAGCTCAGTGCGACACAGAACCCACATTAGGGATGAGTGCAAAACACAAAGAAATTTTAGACAAAAAACTGTAAGCTAAAAATGAAACATGCAAACACCACACAGGGTGGAAATGAGCTCCAGTGTGTTTTCTCATCTTGTAGCAAACTTGGCATGTTGGTGGAATTTCAGCAGAGCAGTGTGACAAGTGTTACCTCCCTGGTTGGTGCTCGGGGTTCAGGTAGAGCACAGGAGCAGGACCGGCACTTCGTGGTCGTAAAACTGCACAGCTTTTGTTCACTAAGACATGTTAACACACAAACACACAGTCCACCGCCAGGAGTCCTTCAGGAAGGCGACGACTCCCTGCCAGCTCAGTGCTGACTTAGCTTGTCTTGCTATGTAGCCATCTTCATCTCCCGCTGGGAAGTCATCACACTCTCTCTGCCAGAGCATCGAGAAATCCAGCTGCATCCAAGCATTTGCAGTTTCTTAAAGTTGAAGATGATAATTGCAGTGAAATATTTGGTCTGGGACAGGCCCCTACTTCTGTACGCCTCTCTAAGGCAACCCAAAAATACTTGAAGTATGATCTCCTGACCTTTCCTCTAGTGCCACCGAACTATTTGAAGCTTTATGTGACTGAGCTCGTGCATGTGCATAGAGTAGAAGCATACCTCCTCCTTTTTTAGACTCAGCCTGATATGATGATGGCTTTGTTAGTACAGTGGGCAGTTTTCCCACTGACCCACTCCAGCCAGGCACAGCATAATCAGATGCTGAGATTTAAAATTCTCTCTTGACCTTGGAACCAGCAGTTGGCCAGACAGTTTCACCACCAGTTAGTGGTTAGTGGCTGCTCTGGCATACACTGCCTCAGCCAAGTTATCATGCAGCTGCAGATCGTCAGATTTCATTCCTCTCAGCATTTTAAGGTCTTCTCTTCCATGTTGGCTTAAAAGTTGAGATTGAAAATTCATTTTTGAATGTGTCAACAGGCACTCATATACACAGAGATGTGAGACTGTTTCCATTTAGATGTTATGTTCCTGTTGTGCATTTTGTTTTTTATTAGAATGCATCTCCTGATCCAGGTGCACGTCCTGGTGTTTTCTTTTTCTGCCTGTTTGTGTGGTGTTAGAGGTGGGGGGAGCTTCTATTAAGTGGCCATTAAGTGTAATTATTTCAGAATGATAAAACCAGAGAGCCTCTTCCTAAAAACAAGAGGAAACAAGTCCCTGTACAGGAACATTCCCAGACATGCAGTAACCTCAGACCCTGTATTTTTCTCCACATCATCTGGTCACAGTGCAGCAGCAGGAGGGAAAATATATCCACAAAACCGGGCACAGTCGAAAAATTCCACTTTTACAATGGCACCGTGGATGTCAGGCAAGCTCACATGAACGTGCAATGGCCTGGATTTATGCCCATTCAAGGAAATCCTTAAACTATCACGTAATATTTTATTTTGTTAGAAAAAAAAGTCTCAAGACGTGTATAAACCAAGGTGCTTCTGTATAGAAGTACTAGAACATGCGTACACCTCATTTTTTAAGTTTTAGGTCACGTCTAACATGATAATTCACCGTTGTAACATTGTAGATAAGTCGGAAAACGTGGGCTCTTAAACATTGATTTGTAGAGGTTGAGCACAGCGCACGCACAAGGTGGAGGTTAGCAGGGAGATAGGAGTCCACTTTGCTGAGGACCACACACTCACTCAAACACAGATGACAGATGACCTGTCACAGTGGAGCGTCTCTGTTTTAGCGGACGGTGTCAAGAGTGATGGAGTGAGCTCGTGGAGAGCAGCAGCAGCACATGGCTTTGAATATCAGCAGCATTCTCTGGTGCCATGTATCTGTCTGACTGACTGCAGATCAGGCTCTGTCCACTCAGGTCAGGTTTCCTCTGTCTCCTCTCTCTCAAATACACACTGCAGGCTTTACAAGGCGGACAGCGTTAGTAAACTAACTCTGCTAACTAAGTACTGTACTTCAGTGCAATTTTGAGTTATTTGTACATTGCATATTTTATGATACTTAGCATTTCTACTTCATTTACACATTGTCCTTTTTACTGCACTACATTTATCTGACATATACAAATGAGTCATATTAAAAGTCTTAACACTCCCCAAAGATGATATAAAATGGGATAGGCAGGACATGAAACCAGTCAGCAGTGTAAACCTGCTCCATCTCGGCAGCTGCAGCATTAAAATGCTGGTTGTGTCGATGCGTGTGAAGCAGTGCAGTAGGTTATAGCTCAGTTCTTCTTGCATAGTTGTTACTTTTATATGTCATGTTAATATTTTAGATAAAACTTTTGGTTTTGTAAAAGTTTAAATGCAGAACCTTTAATTGTACTGTAGTATTATATTTGTTCAGTCGTACTGAAGTGGCATTGCAGTCGTTACTTAAGAGATTTGAGTACTGTTCCACCACTGACCATACAACATTATATAAACAATATGCAGCACATGCTGCTCAACTACATTGTCTACCTTCATAAAATACTATTGTTACCAACAAATCATTTAAATATTGAACACATATAATCTGAGCTTGTTTCCTTCCTCACTCATCTCTGTTGTCTCCTTTTACTTTACTCAGATGAGGGTGTGAACATTCCCAGCATGCCTCACTGCATCTGTGTGTCAGCTGCTGCTCTACAGGGTTAGAGGGAGAATGAGACGGAAGAGGAGGGTTGAAAAATGAGAGACAGTGAGGAGGAAGAGAGAAACAAGGGGAAA